ACAGAAGTTTTAGCTGAATTTGGAGGACAAAAACTGGCTCCCAATTGATTACAGAAATGCTGAAATAAGCCATGGGGAGGGAAGCTCGTGCCGTGTCTCCTGTCCAGAGCTGGCATCCTCCAAACACTCCCTGCTGGAGCAGAGGGCTGGGAACCTCCTGTCTGCTCCCTGTCCCAGCATCTCCTGAGCCCCAGTCCTGTCCTTCCACCAACAGCAGCCAGGGGAACACCACTATCCCTCTCGGCCAGCCCAGGAGGGGCATGCAGGACGTGCCTGCTGTGCCACATCTGCCGGCCACTGCCCCACACCCACGGCAGGAGCAGCACCCAGAGCTTCAGCCCCAGCACTTCTGCCAAGGACTTGAAATGAGGCACAAGCCAGTGTTAGGGACACTGTGCACGCTGTGATGTGAAGGTGAGAGGCAAAGGAAAGCCCACGAGGGAAGGAAGCTGAGAGAGGAGCCTGTGAAAGCAGCTGGCAATGAAAAGGACAGGAACAAGATACATTTAGGAGATGAAAAGCCTCCTGTGCAAGAGGTCAGATTGAAAACAAGCAGAGGGAGAGCTACCAGGGACCATAACTCAGCTTCCAAGCACTGATCATTTGCTTTCATGTCAGCCTGGCCTTTCCTACCTGCTGGAATCATCCTCCAGCTCTCCCATCGCTGGCCAGACAAGATTATAACAACTCCAGAGTCGAGATTTCTCCCCTCTGCACATCACTAACAAGTCATTTTATAAAGAAATCCAGAGAAGAAACATATCATCTAGTATAGATGAGGTTTTTAAAATTCCATTTGCCTTCTGTATGCAAATCTTTGCTGATCTGATGAGGCTCCTATTTCCTGGATTAGACACGTCAAACTTTGCAAAAACGAGCGTACCCTGGTGGTTTCACTCCGTGTTTCACAGCCCTCTCTTGACCGTGCTGCCATAAATATTTCAGAGACCTGCCCACCGCTGTCTGAGTTAGGTCCAGGTCAGCAAGAAGCCAATGGTTTGGACAGTGATTAATTCAGCAAAGCAATTAGCAAGAGCTGCTGCAGCTCAGGAGATCCCAGTGAGCGGCGGGAGCACAGCACCCACAGACAAGGGGCAAGGGGACCCCAGCAGGCACCACGTCACCACCATGGGCCATGGCACAGCACTCCTGAGCCAAAGGCATCCCTCCTGCCTCCTTCCTCCTCCAGCTTTAGGAATTTCTTCTCAGCTTAAAGCAGCACTGGCTCATTTGGCCACCGAAATCTCCTGGAAGACAGACTGGCAATGAAGCTGGACCGAGTTATTCCCCATCCTCAGTCCTGCTCTTCCACAGCAAGTCCTTCAAAGCAGCCTCTGAAAACACCTCCCCAACGTGGCTGCCTTGAGAACTGTGTTTGCACAGGTGTAAAACCTTGTTTGAGCAGCAAACGAGACGGGAGAAGACCCGTGACAAGTCAGAGCAGCAAAGACAGCCCTGAGGATCCTCGGGAGCTGCAGCCATGGATATTTAAATGCCAAGCAATGTATCACTGGCTCCCTGCTGAACACAAGATGGTTTCATCTCTGCAGAAGCAGCACCAACAGCATGCTCACATCAGCTTCACTCTGGCATCCTGACCAGCAGCAGCAGCTATGGCTCCTTGGTTTTTAACTGTGATATAATCAGGCACTTGAGAAAATGAGTCTGGGCAGCACAAACGCTGGGGAGTCACTGCAGGTTCAGCTCTGCAAGGCAGAGCTTTAACCACAGCTGAAGATGAAGGCCAGCCAAGCTCCCTGCTCTGCCCTGAGACATCCATCCAAACCCCAGATAGATCCACGCTGCACCAGTCACGGTGCCAGGCTCTGCTCCATCCCTCCGGCCTGCAGGCAGCAGAGGCAGCCTCCCTGCCCCACTGCTGCCTGTCTGCAGAGCAATCTGTAAATATTTTGATGGTTTGGGCAGAGGAGGTTCTCACTTGTCCATCTGGATTGGAAACAGGACTCATTAACTCCCAACTGTCAGCTGGAAAACCTTCCAGAGGGTTTCTGCCACATCAGGGAGCAGCAAAGTGCTGCTGCCATGGGCAGATCAGAAGCCCTGTGGGGCCTCAGCTCTTCCCTCATCACTGCTGGGGGCGTGATTAACCCCCTTTTCCTTTCTCAATTAAACCCCTGCCTCTTCTATCCTTTTTCTGAATCTTCACAGGAAAGTCTTTCCAGAGGAGCCTCTGCTGGGTGGAAAATTTCCCACCCTAACGCTGGGTGGAAAATCTGCTGCTCAGTGATACAACTAGATGGTCTGAGCAATCCAACTTCCAATCATTATCAGGGATGCTAAACAAAATATTGGGAAATTTGGTGCCCAAATAACAAAAGCAAAAAGAGGTTCCAGCTCCCAAGGGTCCTATCTCCTGGAGAAAGTGTATTCTGAAAGGAAAAAGACAACAGAGGAAGCACAGCTTCCAACAAACTCTGTGTCTGTGCTGGAAGGAGCAGTCACCTGTCCATGAGGATCTGAGCCTTTGTTCAGAGGACACCACAGTCCCACTCACTGAACCCCAAAGAACCCACAGGGTCCTGTGGACTCCAACCACAGACAGGAGGAAAAGCCCCACAGATGATTCCAGGAAGTCCAATAGCAGAGGTGCTGGAAGCCTTTCTGAGGCACATGTTCTCCTTTCAGTCTGAGCCCTGCACCTGGTGCATTATTTAGTGCTGAGGGAGAAAGAAGCAATGCCTAACCGAGTGTTAAAGGGCTTTGGGAAGTTTCACCAACCCTTCCAGAGCCATGAGCTCTGGCTGCCTGGCAGAAGAGACAACTGGTCTTGCTTCCAGATTACAGGCAGCACAGCTCTTAGGGCAACTGTCTCTCTGTGTTTGCATCCAGCTACCTCCAGCAGCTTGAAGTGTGCTCAAAGTGCAAGGAAGCACTTGATCAAAATCCAGCTCACACTGTAGACAGCGAGGAACAAGCGCCTAAAGCGTTAGAGATACAATAACAATCGAATTTGGGGGGGGATTTGACAGGTTACAGGTTGATGACACTGCTGCAGTCTCGGTGGAAACGTGGATTGATGCAATTAGCAACAGGGAACTAGAAACTCAGCAGAGGAAAACTGGGAATGCATCTATAAAAGATGAGCTGCTGCACCATTGTAGAGAAGCACAAAAATCCTGCGTGAGCTCCGAACAGGAACAAGTTGAAACAGGAGTGAGATGGGGGAAACGCAGCTCCAAGCTCCCTGCCAGCGTTCAGAAGTGTAGATCCAGATTTTAAATTCAAACATTCGCTTCCCCCAGAGAGACTGGCCCAGTTTGCCGCAGGGGTAGGGTGGGAGAGGGAGAGGGAGAGATGGGCAGCAGAAGGCAAACCCCTGAGCCCAGCCCAGCTAGGCTCTGCTCGGCTCCCACTGGCTGCAACCACATGGAAAACACAGCAAGATGCAGAAGCAGGGCATGAGACACACTGCCAAGGCGTGGCTCTGCTGCAGCACCAAAAGGAGCATCCCTGTGCAGCCACAGCAGGCCCTGCCCAGCACAGAGCTCTGCTCACACCGGGACAGCCTCGGGGCCACAGGCTGCAGGGATGGGCTCATGCAGGTGTCCCCAGCCTTGGCCAGAACTTGCTGAAGGTGTGAGTGCCAATCCTCACAGAGATCTTGCTCCTGGGGAACCCCCAGGAGACAGAAACCCAGAATGGCAGTAGGAGACTCCTCTGTGCCATGTCCCCAGTGCTGGGATCTGCAGCAGCCAGAGCACGAGGCAGGACACCATTTAAGTCCTTACAAGAATAACCAAATTACTCTCCTCTGTGAATACTGACAAGCTCCCCACTTCCACAAGCCCTTCACTGCGTGTGCCCAACATGGAATAACTACGGAAATGAAGCAGAATAAGGCACCCGAGCAGTGGAGAAGGAGCTTGTGAACAAACCCTGCAATGAGGTTTCTAATGATTGCAAGTATGTACATGTTCTGCTCCAACAAAGCTGGTGGGGATCTGCCAGGCTGAATAATGAGCAGGGACACCACACGCCTTCCATACATAATGGTACAGAAATGGAATATAAGTATATACTGCGGCTTTGTGGAACACAGGGGCTTTTGTAGCCATTTATGTTATACAAAGATTTACATTTGGAAAAGCCATTCTGCTATATTTGGCAGAAATTTCAAGACAAATGGAACCCATACTTATTCATTCAATGCTAATACCGAGCACGGGATAAAGCTCTTAAATTCAGAGCACTTTATAAAAATTAAGTACTACTTAGTTCACCCTTGTGAGGTGGGAAGGTATTACACCTGCATATACATGAGGACACCAAAGCACAAGTGGATTCAACAGCTCGTCCAGGACCCCAGAGACAGGCTAATTGTTGAAATATGTATGCACACGTGCATCTGTGTGTGTTGGAATGGGTTTGGCCCCTCCAGAGCCTCCCCAGCATGCAGAGGCCAAGCTGCTCTGCTGGGCTCCTCTCACCATCGAGTTCCAGGCACATCTAATGAAAGACACCAACCCAAAGAAAGGGAAGATTTTTTGTGGTTTGTACGGATGGAAATAAAAGCTAGCTTTCAAACAGCTGAGGAATAGAAAACCCATTGTTAAAAAGCTGTGCAGTGCTCCAGCAACAGCTCCTAATCAGCTTGCCACTGAGAAGCTCCACACCGGAGCACAGCAGACCTGGGAATCCACGTGCCAACAAACGTTATAAAACCCAGCCCTGGACAAATGGAGAGAGAAAGGGCTGTGGAGCCAGTGACAGAGACAGCCCCTCACCCCCAAGGGGGGCTGGCAGCCCACTCCTCCTGTTCTTTGAGGCCACAAGTGGCCTCAAAGCCCTGGAGCAAGCGTTCCCCTGGTCAGACACTTTGCTCACGGCCCCCAGTCCCTGTCCTGGGTCACCCAGTCCTCCTCCGGTGTGAACAGCAGCAGAACATTGTCAGGGGAACAAACTCTGAGTGTCTGCAGGGCTCCTGCCAGGGCTGGCAGGTGGGGCTCCAGAGGATGCTATAATTAGGCAGCAGCAGTTACCTGGATGCAGGGCTTGCCACTGATCCGTGGGGTAAAACACTTCCAGGTCCTCAGGATCAGCGTCATCCTCTGTCACCGGCTCCTTCCCACTGTCATCTTTTATGTCGCTCTCTTCTATTTTTGTAAGGGCAAACTCCTTTTGGAGAGAAGAGATTCAGCTCATTAGCAATTGCATCTGGGTAATTTAGTGATGGCTGAGAATACAAAATTTTTTCCCTCGCCAGCAGATTTTTTTTTTTTGATTTTTTTTTTTTGACATCCGAGATTCTTTCCACATGGTTAAATTTAGATTTAAAGTATATTAAAGGTTAAACATGCATAACTAGCATGACATTTGTGCTGAACAAAGCAATGCAGCTTATTTCCTATTCCAGAACAGGTTGCAGGTTTCAAACCAGCTCTCACAGAGCCTCACCTGTATTTCAGTCAGAGGCAGGAGCCCTGGCTATTATTGGGTTGTGTAACGTTTTAAGACCCCATTTTCCCTTGCCTAAAAATATGTCAAACTTTTAACTTTTTCAGCTGAAATTTTCCACACGAGTGGAATGCCTCAGGGCTTGTTGGTTGGTTTGGGTTTTTGGGGGGTTTTTGTTTTGCTGGTTTTTGCTGGTTTTTTTTTTTTTTTTCTTCTTAAATGCACTTATTTCAGGCTCGGAGAAGATTTCAGCTAAAATAGTTCAGCTCTTTCCAAAATAGGACACGGGAAAAAACACACCGAGTTGCCCACATGATACAAATGTGAGGATCCTCTTCTCCACCCGCTCCCAGTGTTCTCCAAGTCTTTTAAAACAATGAGGAAGGGATTTAATCACCACCTCCATGGCAAGTGCAGCACGAGGCTGGCAGAGGTGTGGGAGAGCAGCCAGCACGAGTGGCTCGGCGTCACAGCAAGGGAAGAACAGGGGAGAACAGCAGGGGGAAAAAATCCTTGCTGTGAGGGAAACCTTGGAAAGCTCCCTAGGGAGCTGGAGGGAGCCAAATAAAACTCTGGAGAGTGCACAGTAATGACCTGTACTCTCACAGCAGGCACTGACTCCTGGGTCTGAGCTGTCCTGGTTCCAGCAGGAACAGAGAACTGGCCCAGGTTCATCATCCCCACAGCTCAGTGTCTGCTGAAGGGAATATTTTCAGCTTCTGAGATCACCAATTCAGTCACCGCTGAAGAATTTGAGATAACCACCCTACAGGGAATGATTAGTCCTAATTGTTGGCAATTAGAATAGAGTTACAGCTCACTTCATGAGGTGTTTGGATATTAATCCTTAGGATGTTTTCACAGGGAAAAACATAAGTAAATTCAGAGGTTAACTGGAAATTCTGGGACACATTCTGCCTTCAGTTCTTCCACTCTTTGGGAAGAAATGCATGCACATTTTCTGTCAGAATTTGGATGCTCTGCATATAAATATCCGTTTCCAGCCTAGAAGAGTCTTTTTGAGCAGCAGAAATGTCAACCTGAGCAAAACACGCACAGTAGCAATGGCAGTGTGGATGTGGCACTTGGGGACGTGGGCTGGAGGTGGCCTTGGCAGTGCTCAGGTTGTACTCAATGATCATAAAGGTCTCTCCTAACCTAAACAATTCCACAATTTCGTGATTGTGGTAATGCACAACGATGGCTGACAAACCTATAGAATGTTTTTATTTCAGCTGTGGTAAGGGACTGCAATTTCAGAAATGGACGAAACCAGATCTTAACTCCTGCTTTTGCTGAGTGCATCAGGGGCTTGGAATTGTTCAAATTATAACAAACGGTTAAAGCTCAGGAACAATCACAGGCATAAAAGCCCAGGTTCTGCACATGAAAATCAATGTTAACATTTTCTGAGCCAAGACTCAACAGGACTAAAAAGGAGTGAGTGGAGCAGTTATTACTTAGCTGATTTCCACGGCTCTGTGATTATCCAAGAGGGAGTTAGTGATACAGGCTATTGTAAATTTACCACCAGCCCTCCCAGTGCTGGATCTGTTCAAACACATAATGGAGACAGCTGATGTTTACCGGCTCTGCTCAGGAAAAGTGCCGGGGTTTAAATGCTCAGTAAGGATAAAAGGATGTGACTTGGTTCATTTAAGTGTTGCTGTCACTGCCTGGCCACAGTTGCTTTGCAATACCCCATTTTCATTAGCGTTTCCAGCAAAAAATGGGCAGCACCACACAAGCGATTCTTCATTTGCACGGAAATCAGCAGAGCCCTTTTTTGGTTTGTTTTCATAATTCAAGCAGGGGAGAGAGGTTTCCTAAAGAACAACGGGCATTTCCTTAAAGGCCAAAGAAGCATCCATGTTTTCTCAGTGTGAAACCTGCCTGGAGGTTACTTACAGGGGCTCTGTGGCTCAGGCTGGGGCAGGAGAAGAGCAGGGAGCCCAGCAGCAGCAGCAGGCCGGCTCTGGCAGCGGTGGAGAGGAGCCCGGCCCAGCGAGGCATCGCCACCAGCCTGAAATGCCGAACAAAACAAACCTCACGGTTATTTTCCCCCCGTTTTTGCAGGTTTTGGGACTGTTCACACAACACTTTGTGGCACAGCGTGGGAGCGGGGCTGTGACACAGCAGGAAGCACAAACACCTCGAGGTGTGAGCACTGGGGGTCCTGGGGCAGCGGCTCCCTGCTAATGGGGTTTGTGACAGGTAATGCCAAGCGCCTTATACCGACCCCAGGGGGGATAATATCTCTCCTGGAAAACATGAGGAGACCTGTAAGACTTGTTTAAAATTGCTGTGTCGATGCCATGGATGGCAACTACAGGGGAAAATAAAAAGCAATCCCGTGAAGGCTTTTTATGCCTGTTCCTCATTTTAAGCACAGAAGTAGCTGAGTTAATTCAAATTAAACAAAACGACCAGCTGTCCAAGGATCAGGGGTTTATCTAATCCATATGTAGGTTTTTCTTGAGGAAAACAACATTTTGCAGAGGTCAGTGAGGTTTACTTGGTGGTTCCTACAGCACAAGGCTTTCCCTGCTGCTCAGAGCAGCGGCTCAGCCGAGCCGTGGGGCCAGGAGCTGGCTCTGGCCAGGCTCAGGGGAACCAGGGCACAGAGCCACCCCGATCTCCTGCTGAACAAAAGAGGGGGAAAACAAAGGGTTCTGCTGTGCTGGTGCCAGTCCCGGGCACGGAGCTGGTGTGCCCACCCTGCGAGTGTGAGCACACACACGTGTGCCCCCAGCGCCTCGCACACGAGGCTGGGGATCCACCCACGGCCTTCAGCTCGCTGCTGGGGTAGGGAGAGCAGCAGCCTGCCAGCACACAGGCTGCACAAGTGTTTCCTTTGATTGGCTCTAAATTTACACGCTGCTAAATTAAACTAAATGAGGTCTTTTGAAAGAAGATGGGACTGATTAGTTCCGTTCAAACACTCCTTCATTACTCATCCCTCCATCAAGTCTGCTCCTACTCCTATCCAGGTTTTAAAGAATTTCCTCCCCTACACACAGTCCGAAATATCTTGCTTTGCTGTCCATCAGGATGGCACATCAGAGAGCAGAGTCTTCCCTCCTCGAAGCAACAGAAAACCTGCTCACAGCAGTACCCAATGCCAGCTCCTGCCACCAAAGAGCCTCCGCCCCCAGAAGCCTTCAGGGACATGGAGAGACGCCTCCTCTCCTTCCACCCTTCCACTGGGACCTTGTCCCTCCACTCCATCTTGTCACTTCTTCCTCTCCCTGTTTGGTTTTTGCCAGAAAAAGAAAAAGCAACCCCCCACATCCCCCTGGTCAGTGCTGGACAGGGGAGGGACAGAGCGGGGAGCAGAGGTAACAGGACACCTGATGTGCCAAAAACTCCTGAGCCAGAGCCTTCTTGAACAGCTGCCTCTACCTCTGAGCCACCTCTACCACATCAACTGGATTTTTCTCATTAATTTGCTTTGGAACAGATCTGGATTTCTGACACTCACAGCATCCCTGACCAATGAGTTCCCCTGCTTAACTCACACAGTGCAGGAAAGCATCACCTCCCATTGCCTCCTTCCATGTCTCCTCTTTCCCAAAGGGTCAAAGAACCACCTCGAGGACCCACAAACCCTTATTAAACCACAGCTGGAGTAGAAGAAAAGCTCCCTGTTTTCATAAGGCAACCTGTGGCCAGAGCCTCCATCTCCCTCCTGGGCCATGGCCAAGCAAAACCAGGCTCCAGCCAACACCAGGCTCCTGAGCTGGCACACCCAGAGCTCAATGCAGGCTCCAACTCCCTCTGCTCCCAGAAGAGCTGCATCTTCTGCTCAATGTCCTCAGTCCAGGGTGACCACGACACACAATTCCCTCTCATCTCAGAACAAACTGCTGCTTTTTTCACAGGGAACAGGTTTTCAGGTTTGGTTGAGGGTTTTGGGGTTTTTTTCAGTTATAAAACAAGCAGCAAAACTGGAATAATGAAAAATAGATGTATCTCTCAAACTTTATCTGCAAGCCTGGAAATAAAAAGAAAAAAAAAAAAGAAATTCAACAAAGCAGTGGCTGAAAGCAAAGCAAACGCACACTCCCAATAAAAATAGAGCTCACGTGTACCGAGGAGGCTGGTAGCAAATGACAGCACAGCCTCTTTCAAGCCTCCAGCCTCCTGCCTGCCTGGCAGATGACATCTGCACAACAATTAGCACTTTGCTTCGGTCCCAGGTAGGCAGGAGGAGCCAACATGTGCAATTGGGGCTCTGGAGCTCCTGGAGAGCAGCCTGCACCTGCTGACATCTCCTGACAGACAGACAGACGCAGAGGATTTCCACACAGAATGCTCTGTGAACACAATGGATTTACAGAAACAACCCTTTGCAGCCTGCAAAGCAGAAGGGTGGTCATGGTGACCCCACCTGCACAAGGAATGTTTGCTTGGATTTGAGGGTGTCTTTGGGGATCCAGGAGCACTCACGTACAGCAGCCAGGCAGCAGCAAAAACCAGCCTAGGACAGCCACAAATCCCCCTTGTGCAGAGTGGAGGGGCTGATTCTTTTTTAATAATCCTTTTTTGTCAAACAAAATCAGGTACTAGGGAAAGAGCAAAGGGTCAGACTCTGAGAAGCCTCCACTGCTGGCAGTAATCCTCCTGTCAGAGGAGATGTTGCTGGCTGGGAGGTTCTGCTCCGCAGCTCCCGAAATCCGCCAGCAGTGGCAGAAACAACAGCCTGGAGTTGTGTCCCCATTAGCAGGGCCATTTCCACTGGTGGCAGAGCTGTGCACCAGGGAGCTGCAGAGCCCCAGGAACGCAGCTCCTGTAGGCACAGGTGACAGCTCAAAGGGAGCCAGCGAGAAGAGCACATTTCATTAATGCCTCCTGCTGCTGGCAGCGCTCTGCGCTTTCATGTCCCGGCACAGAGCCCACGCTGCCTGTCCTGTGCCACTCCAACAAATCCGCCTGGAGCCTCATCTGAATTCTGATCTGCTGCTCCAGGAGAGCACACAGACCTCCCAGAGCTCCTCAGCCCCGTCATCAGCCTCTGGCTTTGCAGCCAGCTGGAAGCAGAATGACTGAATCATTGAGGTTGGAAGAGACTTCCAAGACCATCGAGTCCAAGCTGTGCCCAATCCCCACCTTGTCCCCAGCCCAGAGCACTCAGTGCCACCTCCAGGTGTTCCTTGGACACGTCCAGGGATGGGCACTGCAAACCTCCCTGGGCAGTTCCAATCCCTGAGCTCCCTTTCCATGGGGAAATTCCTGCTGCTGTCCACCCTGAGCCTCCCCTGGCAGAGCCTGTAGGACATTTCCTCTTATCTTGTCCCTTGTTCCCTGTGAGCAGAGCCCGACTCCAACCTGGCTCCACTCTCCTGGAGAAGGTTCCCCCTGAGCTTCCCTTTCTCCAGGCTGAGCCCCTTTCCCAGCTGCTCCTCACAGCACTGGCTCTCCAGCCCCTTCCCCAGCTCCATTCCTTCCCTGGACACGCTCCAGCCCCTCTGTGTTTTTCTTGCCATGAGAGCTCAGAACTGGACACGAGATTGGAGGTGCCTCAGCAGTGCCAGCACAGGGGACAGGCACTGTCCTGGTCCTGCTGCCACACCAGTGCTGATACAAAAATACCAATTATCTCTAAGAAAAAACAATAACAACAAGCTAATCCTTTTCATCTCAGGATGACCTGAGGGAGCGGGATCGGTATTACGGTCTTGCAAAACTTGCCTGCAGATGAACTAACTCAGGCCAGGTTTCCCAGATGGGAGGTGGCAATGGCAGCTCCAGCAGCACACTGAGTATGGCAGCTCCCTCCATGAGTGCAGGGCACAGCTGGAAAACCTCAAGGAACACGGCCCAAGCACCTCCAGCTGAACCATGGCACAAAGACCCGCCGGCACTCTCAGCCTCTGCGGCTGAAGGGGAAGTTTCCTGGGCAACAGCAGCTCAGGAAATGATCTCCAGCCAGCCGTGCACAGGGGCTGTGGGACTGGAGAGGCTCTCAGGACACGATCACAGAGATCCCCTTCACACACAATGTCCTTTTAACAGGTGGCATCCGGGCTGAGCGCAGTGTGATGGGCTAAGTCACAGTGCCACAGAGAAAGGAAAGAGAAAGGAAAGAGAAGGAAATTTAGCTGACCTGACCTGCAATTTTCCTCCTCTGAGCAAGAGGGTCCCCAGGTCTGTGAGGAGCACTCGTGTTTGCTGGTATGCTACAGACACCTTGGGAGCACCCTGTGTCCAGCTGTCCCTCCTGCTCGATGACTGTACAGGACACCAACAGGAGAAAGAGGAGCTTTGGAACTGAAACTCAGCCCCTCCTAAGAGAGGAAACAGCTGGTGGGCAAAAAGAGGCTTACTGGGAGCCCACAGAGGATTACTGGGAGCCCACAGACTAATGCCCTTCCCCAGTCTCTATCTGGGTCTGCACAATCCTGTGCTTTCAAGGAGGACAACCTGCACACCCCATCACCTGAGGCCAATGCCCAGGCTGATCTCAGCAGCTCTGCTCCTCCAGGCAATGCCTTAAATTTCAGCTTTCATATTTTCCAGATTCTCTGCTGCACTGGTACATAGCTCTGAACTTCATGTAGTGTTGGCAAGTTCTCTTTACAGTGTGGTCAGACACAACAATTCTTTTCCAGCCCCAGAACCAAGGACACCATAGCAGCTTCAGGCCCAAAAAGTGTAACCAGCAGTGAATTGAGGAGAGCAACCTGGGAGGATGGGACTGCATCACCTGGAGCTGGAACTGCACAATTAACCCCAATATGGAAATGGACCAAAACTTATGAAAGTGTGAAAATCTGTGACCAGGTGTCCATCTTGGGTCCATGTTTAGTGTAGCCTCAGCCAGGCCCTTGTACTGCCCAAGGTGTATCCTTTGAAGGCGTTTTAGTAAATCCCTGCTTTATTCCTTTAACTCTGCCCAGCCTCTGTTCCAGGCAGCCTCTCAAGGCATCACAGGCAGCCTATCCTCAGGAAAGCACCCTTGTGTCCCCAACCCACACGGGAGCCCACTGCAGTGAGAGCCCCAAGCCCTGCCAGAGGGTCCCA